CTCCATAACTCGGCAGTTGTTATTTAGAGGTAGTTCTCATACGCTACCTGCTAACTTCCTTAGAGTTTATCACTCACCGTGGGGGCCGGGCACTTGTTGTTTAAAAATAGTTCTCATATGCTATTTGCCAACAAGCTCAAAGTTTATCACTTACCTGAAAAAATAAAGAGAGTACTGGCACCTTTCTATAGATTCAGTGTGTTGAGTAAAGAAAATACACACTCCTTTACTAAACAAAACAAAGTGGTTTCGTCTCTTTTCTTCGCCTCCTCGCCGCTTTTTCAAAATTTTCCACAAAAGTGGGCAAAGCAGCTTACCCTCTTCAAAAGATCGGCATTGTTTACACTTACTAAATCTGGACAGTTCTGGCAGACTGCGATCACGTGTCTGATTTGTTTTGTTTATAGACTGTGCTGATTCACATAATACCGAGGTTGGCCGCTTACGTCATTTAGAAGTCCAAACGACCTAGTTGGAAATTTACTTGATAGGGCGAAGCTTTACACTAGAGATATACAAATATCATATTTGTTATATAATTTTTTTTAGCCTGGCATGGGTAATAGTAGTGCTAAAAAAGACGGAATTTTCTGCCATCCTTTTTGTTTTCTTTTTTTTGTCATTTTCTCTTTTATATTCCCTTTCGTATATGTTTTCTTTTTCTTTTATTTCATTGTTTTTTCTTTTTCTCTTGTTTTTTTTTTTTTTGTCATATTTGTTTTCTTTTTGTTTTTATTTTTTTATTTCTCCTATTTACTTTGCCCTTTTGAAGAAGGAAAATTGTTAAGAAAAAGGAATCTTGACAAAGCTAGCAGTAAGCTTATAATGATTCTTTCGGGGAGCTATCTAGCAAGTTAGATGCTGGAGATGAATAAATTATTGTTGCAGCAGATCGCACTTGGGCACCATTACGAGCAGCTGAGTGAGTCTTTATTAAAGAGTAGGATGGTGGAAGACATTGAGTTTATTGCAGGCTTGTTGTTCTAAAACTATGTATTTAGATTACGCACTCCTAGTACAATAAAGGCAGGATTGCCAAAGTTTAAAAAAAATAAAAATAAATATATATATATATATATATTTAATATTAGGGTGTAGCTCCTGCTTTAGACTTTTATTAATACTTAAGCAATTGACATATAGCAGTGCCGAAATACATACATATTACATATTAGAACTAGAACTAGGACTTTAGATCTAAAACTATTTATCTACAGCTAAAACCCACCAGAGCCGTTAACACTCCCACACATGTGATTGACCTGGATTTTATATATCTCTCCCAAACTGCCAATTAGTATTCACATGTCTGCCACTTTATCCACATATCTAATATCTTAACTTCCAAATTTGTGTGTACCAGGTGGGTGCTTATTGCTTCTAGTTTGGTGTGCCCAATCCCAGCTAGTGTACTTTTAGAAGTTCATATTTCAAGCCATGCAGCTGCCTCTACCCAATTGAGTAAGTATCTCAAGCCTGTATACTGCTGTAACTAACTGGTTTCCTGCGACTTTGAAACCAAGGTCTTAATGTTTCAAATTCGGTAATGTGCAAATGACTATACTTCCCAATATGGTAATGAGGCTTGCCCAAGCATGTTTTGCAAATGCTTTTAGTACTTGATATAATTGAGTGGAATCATGAGGCCTAGAGGTTCTTAACAGGTGTGTCATCATTTCTATTTATAGTGATTCTCAGCAGTTGTAGCCCCAGTTACCTTTGCATTCACTTATACTAGCTATACCTGTATTGGTGGTCCCAAGTCCTCTTAATGTTCAAAACTCCCATATGGTATGACCAGAGCGTGTTAGGTCTATCAACATGTACACACCTTTATGCTTCAACTTCTTATTAGTTGGTGAGTTCCGTATGCACCAGAGATATTCCAAATCTGGTAAGGCCAATTCTTTACCACAGATCCCTTTGTGTTCACCACATTTCTCACCACTTTCCAATTCTAGTTACTGCCTGTTAACCTCCCAAACAAGATCCCCAATTCTGCCCTAGAGGTTGTTAGTGCTACCTTGCCAATCATGGATTTACACACACAACCTTTGTGTAATAAAACCTTCTGTAACAACTATCATTACACATAGTGCCAACTACTTCACAATGGATCTCCTTTCAAAAATTCCTAATCCAGACCTGTATTCACTTGGACTTCCCACGGTAGATACTTCTAAATATTCATAGGTAAATATACCTACTAGGACTTGAACCCGAAACCCGCTCGTGGAGGGTTGAGTACCTAGACCACTAGACCGCAGGATCCCAACTCTATAAAAATACATATATATGACTATGTAAAAATAATAATTATAAGAAAAATATCCTTCCAATTCATAATAGTACAGCTATGTTATTTGGCAGTCTTATTGATTTTTTTTAATAATTACCTGTGAATTATTATACAGCAATAGTACTTGTTATATATTATGTATAAACTGTCAAATAATTGTAGTTAAATAATTATTATGACATTCTTGTGATCATCTATATAATTGTCAAATTTGTAATTATTATGATATGAATTAATAGTATCATATATTTGTAACTGAACTAATTATAATCATGATATTTATAGTCTCTTATATGATCATATAGGCTGCTATCAATAAAAATAAGGCAGATTAACATTTTTAAAAAATTAATATCTTAACTTTCGTAGCTTTTATCTTGATATATTTTGAAGCTATCTTAATTATTTAATAGTCAAAAAAAAAGCTTATGATTTAAGCTTTCTTTTGAATACTAAATAATTAAGATAGCCTCAAAGTTTACCAAGATATGAGCTGTAAAATTTAAAGCATTAATTTTTTTTAAAATATAGTATTGAAATCTAGTTATTATTCATTTACATATTATTTGAATACTACAAAGCAAAACCTAAATTTCATTTTTTTATAGTAACTGCAAAACTTTAATATAAACCAACTCAGTACTAACAATATAGAAATTATAGCAATTCTAGTGTAAACTAGCTCAATTTTAACAATATATTGTGATTATCAAAATAACAAGTGAGATTTGTAACAGAATTTTATAGTCTTAATTCTAATACAACTAACTTATATAGAAACTTTTAATATAAACTAACTCATAATTTATAGTTTCTGATAGAAATCATAATAATTTTAAAAGGAAATTATTTTTTATACTTCCCTGCAGATTTACCTTTTTTTTAAACTTTGAGCGAAGATATCATGACAACCACTAAACCAATTTTGATGAATTTTTTTTCTTTGCATTCTATAGGTTCATAGAATTCAAATAAAAAAAAATTCATCAAATTTGGCCCAGTAGTTGCTAAGATATCATTGCTCAAAGTTTGAAAAAAATCAAAATATCTATCAAAAAAACAATTCAATTTTTTTTTAAACTTTAAGTGAAGATATCTTTGCAACCACTGGGCCAAATTCGATAATTTTTTTTTTATTTGAATTCTATGAATCTGTAGAATGCAAAGGAAAAAATTTGTCAAAATTGGCTTGGTGGTATCGTGATATCTTCGCTCAAAGTTTTAAAAAAAGCCAAAATATATATCAAAACAAAAGCTACGCCAAAATTTTCTCAAAGTTTGAGTGAGGATATCTCGACAACCACTAGGCCAAATTCGATGAATTTTTTTTTATTTGAATTCTAAGAATCTGTAGAATGCAAATAAAAAAATTCATTAAATTTGGCTAGGTGGTTGTCAGATATCTTCGTGCAAATTTTGAGAAAAAGTTCGGTGCAGCTTTTGTTTTGATATATGTTTTGAGTTTTTTTTAAGACTTTGAACAAAGTTATTATGACATTCACCAAGCCAATTTTGATGAATTTTTTTTATTTGCATTCTACAGATTTGTAAAATTCAAATCAAAAAAATTCATCGAATTTGGCCCAGTGGTTGTCGAAATATCCTCGCTCAAACTCTGAGAAAATTTTAGCACAGCTTTTGTTTTGATATATGTTTTGGCTTTTTTTAAAACTTTGAGCAAAGATATCATGACAACCACCAAGCCAATTTCAATGAATTTTTTTTTTTTTTTGCATTCTACAGATTCATAGAATTCAAATAAAAAAAATTCATCGAATTTAGCCTAGTGGTTGCAATAATATCTTCTCTCAAAGTTTAAAAAAAATTTGGAATGTTTGTTTTGATATACGTTTTGATTTTTTTCAAACTTTGAGTAATGTTATCTCAGCAACTACTGGGCCAAATTCGATGAATTTTTTTTTATTTGAATTCTATGAACCTGTAGAATGCAAAGAAAAAAAATTTATCAAAATTGGTTTGGTTGTTGTTGTGATATCTTCGCTCAAAGTTTAAAAAAGATAAATCTGCAAAGGGGTATGGTTAATAAATTAGGGGGTATAAAAAATAATTCTCTTTTAAAATAATCTGAATCGCTATATGTACGTATTAAAGAATAAGTTTGTAACAGAATTTCTTATTGTAATTTATAACTCAATACAAACTAACTCAATTACATACTGTAGTCACTGAGATAGTATATTTAGTAATAGAGTTTTTGTAATAATAATTCTGATACAAGTTTGCTCAACCATAACTACATACTTGATAATTAAAATAGCAAGTAAATTCTATAAAAAATTATTGTAATAGAAATCAAGCAATTTAAATACAATTACTAAGCCTTATCGTACGAGTCTTATATAACAAACCATGCTTTTTCACTTACTTATTCGCTTGGATATATATGAAAATTTCATGATTTTTATATATATCTGTGAAAATGTTATTTTGCTAAATCTATTATGATTAGATAACTTTTCTAGATAGTGCTTCTAAATTTGCAATTATTTGAGCGAAACTAATTATTCAAATGTATTTAAAATTTGAAATTGGCTAAACAACGAAATTTATTACATATTTATTAAAAATAAAATAGCATATATTTGACTAATTGATAAATAAAATTTTCAAATTAAGATCAATCAGTTTGCTAGTATCAAGAAATTGTATAATCACATTATTAATAATTTGCTGTAATACTTTATATTTGTTTTTTTGCAATTAGCACTGATACTTCTTCGTCTTTTTCTTCAAATTGTCCGATTGCTTGATTATAATAATTATTCTTAGTCTGTATCATTTGTTCTTTATTATTTTCTTGTATTTGTTGGTTTTGAGACGTATGCTCTTGTGTTTGTTGGTTTTGAGATGTATACATTTGTTGGTTATGAAATATATGTATTTGTTGATTCTGAGACATATATATTTGTTGGTTCTGAGATATAAGTATTTGTTGGTTCTGAGATGTAGGCATTTGTTGATTCTGAAATATAGAAGCTTGTTGAGTCTGAAATATAGGAGCTTGTTGAATCTGAGATGTAGGCATTTGTTAATTTTAAGATATAGATGATTGTTGGTTCCAAGGATAAAGCCAAGCTTTCTTTTTAGTATTTTAAAAGGCATTAAAAGTTTAGGATTTAAATTTGAAATCATATATTTTCTGAGAGAAGAAACTTTATCTAAGAGGTTGAAAAATATATTAAATATAGTTATTATATAATTGTTTGAGACAATGTATAAGTACCTGAAATTGTAGTAACAGATGGTTTAGATACAGAATTCAAAGATTGTTGATTTTGATTTAACGTATTATTAGAATTAGATTGGAATATCAGCATTGGTGCTTAGATTCAATGTAGTATTAGCATTAGTGCTTAAATTCGACGTAGTATTAGCATTAGTGCTTAAATTCGACATAGTATTAATGTTAGAGTTTAGGCTTGATGTAGTATTAGTATTAGAGTTTAGAATCTTTATTCTGCTTTTATTATCTAAAAATAAAAATTATAAGTTATTAATTTAAGCAAGTTTTTAAATATTATATTAATAATATTTTCATTTTCATCAGATTTATAATTGATATAATTATATGAATCACTAGAAAAAGAGTAATAAGATTCAATATCCTCATTATAAGCCGTATAAAGAATTTATAGTGCTGTATATGACAAATGCTAATCATCTGTTGGACTACTATATGATCGGATACCTTCTCTAGAACAGTGCTCTGAGAATATTATAGCTTCATCTTCTGGAACATCAGATGCTTTTAATACTATTATAGCTGTACAATGGGCACTATAATTCGTAATTTTTCTATTGCTATCAATATTAATACTCATATTGATAGCTATTTGTTGTAAAATTATTTTTAATTTATTTGTACCTATTCCAGAAGGTTTATACCAAATTCCTTTAACTATATCTACAATGTATTTAATAAGTATTTTTTTAGTATGTGCGTAGTAAAAAAAATAAGATTAGATTTTACATGCATATACCAGTTTGCTTTCTTGTTGTTTGTAAAAACAATAGATCAGTACTAATACATTGTGATGGTTGCTTTAATAAATAAAGTAAAAGATCTGCAATAGGAGTAAATTTATTACTTTCAAGATCAGGAGGTATTAGTATAGTTCATGTTCCTGTATGTCCATATTGTTACCATTATAAAACTCCTCCTTGATTATTTTTTTCTTGTCTAAATCTTATTTGTAGTCTATCATCATCTCGTCTTTCAAGATCTTGAAATTCTAATTTATAAGTATTATCACCCTATAATTCACAAAGCAATAATAGCTAGAAAAAAATACATCGAATTAACCCTTCATTATTTTCAATTAATAAGTAATTATAGTTTAAACATGTAATAATTTCTTCAGTAGTTAGTGAATCACTTTTGCTTGTATCACTATAGCCTTTATTCTGTAATGATTTTATTTTACCATCCAAACAACGTAATGATTTAGAGAAGAATTATTTGTCTCAAATATAAACACTACCTTCAATTAATAAATTTTCTCTAAGATATCTTGCCAATGCTAAATAACAATTATGTACTGATTTTACTTTAAATGGTTGACTATTTTTTCTAGAAAGCCATCTGATGAAGAAACTAATAAATGTATTAAGTTCAGCCTTATTATCGAATTTATCCAAGGTTTTTGTAATATTTTTTCTTTTCAGTAGTGATCAACATGGTGTAACTATTTTGAGATATTTTTTTCTATATTTGTAATATAAGAAAGATTTATAAATCATTGTGCTTCAGAATAGTCAGTTATTAAAGTTCTATTCGACATTTTCAGAAAAGAGTTATTTTTAAATTATTGTACAAAGACAATTCATATTTATATTTAATCAGTGATTACGTCACTAATCTATCTAAAAAAATTTTTACACTAAATTGATAGCTATATATTATACTTTTAATTAATTACGCATGTGATTGTTACGTCAGACCCATACAATAATATAGTTATTATATGAATATCTGGGTGCAACTAATTACATACAGATTTTATTTAAACCATATAGCCTTCAGCTATATAGTTTAAATAAAATCTGTGTGTAATTAGTTATACCCAGATATCCATACAATAACTATAACTTATTGCTCTTTTTGATTTAATTAGATCAATGAATTTTGCAGATTTTTTTATTTGTGAGTCTTATGAATTTGTAAATCTCATATATACACATATCTGCATATAATAATATTTGTATAATAGATAGCTAACAATTAATTATATACAAAATATTTGTATATATGAAACTCTAGATTCATAAAACATATAAACAAAAAAAAATCATAATCCAATTAAATCAAAAGAGTGATAATTATACAAAAATCAAAATACTTCTAATACAAACCAACTTATCTACATATCATAATAGTGAATAAGCTTTGTAATAGTTTTTTTGGTTAATATTTAGTATAGAATTATTATAAGATTATAATATAAATAAATAACTATTTAACCTAATTTAAGCAAATTTGAAAATAGTTAGAGTTAGGGTGAGCTTATAGTTTAGTTTAAATTAAAGTTAGCTTAGAGTTAGAGTTAGAGTTTTTTTATATTATAATCTTATAATATTTCTATATTGCCCAGTTATACTAAAGAAGATCTGTTTATTTTTTTAGAAACTCATAGCCAAAATCAATAATTTCAATACAACTCAACACAAAATTATATATATAGGATTCGTAATAATTCTGATAAATACTAGCTTGATCTTAATTACATATAAGTCATAATTTTGGAACAAGTTAAATATTGAGATTGTCAAAATGATGAGTAAGCTCTGTAACAGAATTTTTTACAGTAAAAATAATAATAATTCTGTTATATTTTAATAAAACTGCACAATTATAGATAGTGCTACTGGAAGATTCTAAATATATTTGTATAATATAGAAAAAACCTGAATTGCAATAAAAACTGATAGTGAGAACTTGAAAATCTAAAACTAGCTTGGCAAAATCTAAGTTGGAAATAGTAAGAATTATGAAAGTATCACTGAACCAAACCAGACTGCAAACCAATAAACTAGAGGAATTGAATGTCAAAATTCTATAATAAAGAATCCACCAACTTGGCTGCTAAAGTTATACTAGAGAAAAAAGATATGTACTTTGAATAGGGTTCTATAAAATCAAATCAAATCAAATATTTAATAGATTTAAATTCAATTTGATTTTTTCAAATCAAATATCAAAAATATTTGAATTTCATCAAATCAAATCAAATACAGTCAGACCTCTTTATAGTCAACTCCTATATAATTATATTTTTTTATAAGTATATTTTTTAAAAAACAAACTATTATTAAATATAGTGAATTTGATTTCTATAACTGCCACATCTCTTTACAATTACACATTTTGTATTTCAAGTATGTGATTATAAAGATGTTTGACTGTATTTAATTGATATATATATGTGTTTCACATCATTACACTAATTCTGAATTGGCAAGTATAATTCATAATTTTCACTGATCATGAAATAGCCAGATCAATTTGTAATACAGATCATAAGACCACAGCAATAACTTATTAAGCATTATATTATTTACTAGTAACTAAAGATATCCAAATATCTGTGTTTAAGATAACTTAATATATTATATATTGGAATAGATTTTCTGTACAACTAAAACTCAGCAGATCAACCAAATTCTGGAACATAATGAAACAGAATTAATAAATCTTGCTAATAATTCAGTAATTCACATACTAAATAAAATTGTCTAGATGCTAATTTTGCTACAATGTAGTTAGTTAATTATTATTATAAATTAATACTAGCCAACTCTAATAAATTCCAATCTAAACTTTGGCTGATTTTTTAAATTTTAGCTGTTTAACTAATTTATATATAAATTGTATAATTATGCCATATTGTGATTTTTGCTAAAAATATAATGCAAAACAATAATTTTATATTAAGATAAAAAAAAGGTTTAGAAATCATTTAAGTACTATGAGACTTCAGATTTTCAAGCTAATATATTATTATTTATAAAATTTAGCTTGTAAAAATCTGGTCAAATATAGATCATTTGTAATACATATTATAGCTATTGTATTATCAGGTTTTTAAATTATAAAATCATAAGATTTACTTCTCTTATTTATAATAGTTTATCAATTAAAATAACAATTTATTGTTTAATTAATTTTTATTTAAACTTTTCTATACCTAAATTATAATTTAAAAATTTTCTAGATTACAAGAAAATATCTTTGCTAAGACAAAATACTTGTTTCTTATATAATATTTTATGATAAGATTTTGAAAACTGTTTTAAGCTATATTGATTTCTAAACCTAAAAGATGTGAGATAATCAAAATTGTGATTACAGTAAAGAATAAATATAGTATAGTAAATAGTATAAAATAACAATTTAAAAAACTATATATACCATACTAATAACTAATTACTATGCCAAGCTCATAAAATTATTATTATTTATGATCTATAATATATATACAAATTTGATTATCTATACCATAATTCAGCATATTAGCTATTTTTTTTTAAGAGTTTAAAATAAATAATGAAATTGACAATTCTTAAAAAAAAGAGAAAGCTCAATACACAATTCACTTATTTGTGCTGGTAATACAAACCAAAAAAGAATTGCATTTGTAAATAAACTAAGAAAGTTTAGGATTAGAACATTAGGATTAGTGTTAGAATTAGTATTAGAGTTGTAAGCTTTTAGTAATAATTTGAGTTTTTTATATATAAAATTTCATTTTCATTATTTTTTATTAATCTAAAAAGATTGATTTAAACACTAGTTTTTGAGTATTTTCTCTTTTTCAGTGTTTTTCTCATGTGTCAGACTGATCTGGAATCATTATATTTTACATTCTCTGATTGGCCATTTCTTTTTTAGAGATATGTATTACCAGTGCAAATAAGTAGATGCAATCAATGCATGAATAAATTGGCTAATCTAATCTGTTAAATGTGACAGATAGAATATTAAAACTTTTATTAATTAAAAAATCACTTATATTAATATTTCTGTATGCTTTAAAGTTTTAAGAAAATATTGAAAAATAAAATTTTTATTGCTATTTATTATTAGAAAAAAATAAAGAAATTTTACTAATTTTTTAGTTAAGACTGTAATTTGAACCTGAACTATTTATGAAATCAAAAATAAAAATAATTAGTTCAATTATATTAAACAAATTCAATTTATTTCTTTATTCTTCTACCCTCTATCCATACTCTCTTCATTCTACTCTTAAAGGTCTTATTCTTTCTCCGCTCATTCAATACATATTACCATTTAACATATCTTATTCAATAGCTTCACAACTAATTATTAAAATCCTTATCAAATTTACGAACAAATATGGAAATCATACTGTATTAACTTTTCTACTTGGAAAAAAGCACACCAAATATTATCCAATTCTACTTTTATTCAAGTTAGTCAATGATCCCCTTCTTGCCTCTATACTAGAACTCGTAACACTTTTACTTATAACTGTCCATGCAACTTACCTAATCAACTACATTTTGATTCTCTTTCTTGCCCCCAACTGGGCTCGCTAAACTTAAATTTAATATCTGGTCCACTTTATGATCAGTTCAGTATCCCTACTAATTATATATTAACTATTCAAATCTAGGTGAGTCTTGACCACTCTAGTAGGTTTAGGTTGCAGATAAATTAGTCTAAGCTTTTATTCTTGCATGTAGTTTATATTTATTCATTTATATATAAATTAAGTCTTCATTCAGTTTTGTTTCTTTATGATTACTTATATAAATTACTCAATAAAGATATAAGCAAGGCCTCACCTTTTAATATTAAAAAAAAAAAAAATTCAATTTATCTATTTGGAGTTCTCTAGCTAATTAAAATTGCTAATATCCAAGCTAGATATATTGTTAATACTGTTATTATTCCCACTTTAGAATACAGAATTTACAACACTATTCTTAGCCAATCTGTCTATAATAAGATTTTTTAACAACAAATCAACTTAGTTAAGCAAAAAGCTAAACTCTGTCTTACTATTTACAAATATATAATATTAAAAATATTTGGAATATTCAACTCCAACACCATAACTCTAACTTTATTAAGCATTTTAATAATGAATTTCTCCTTGATATATATATCTACTTGTATTTAAGTTCAACAACTTCAATATAATCTCTGGTTTCTTATTAGCATTTTATTTTACACCAATCCTCTTATTAATGTTCCTAATAGGCTCACTACTAATTTTAAAATTATACTAACTCTAACAATTCTTGTTTTCTTGATTAGAAACATATTTTTCAAGACTTAATAAAATATCTAAAGAAAAATTTCACAATAGTTTAAATTTTTAGAAAACTCTTTTATTAACTTTCTTATAACTGTTATATCTATCTCCAACTAACTACTATAGTACTGGTTAATTTCAAAAACACATCAAGCTCTGGCTTATTACAATACTCAATAATCAAATTATTGCTAGCAAAGCCTGTTGCCAATCTACAAACTTTGAACAAATACTAATCAATCATTAGCAACTACCTTCTTACTCTATTCCTAATATAACTTCAACACTATGTCTTAACTACTCTCTTAATTTTAATTTTTTAATAATAATTATACTATTCTTATTACAACTAGTTATGCTATTAAATTTTTTGGCAAATTCTATTAGACAAATCAATTACTTTCAATGCAAACCCTCTCAATCTTATACATTCTATTAAACTTCAAGAAACTATCTTAAATTCTATATCTCCAAATTTTATTATGCAAGCCTTTCAAATTTCTTCCATAATTCTAACTAACTCTGCCTCTAATACTCTTTAACAGC